AACACGTCCTCATTTATACTTTTAAGATCACCAAATTCTTTTTTAAGATTTCTAATAATTTAAGGTTACCAGCAGACCTACGGAAATTTTTATGGAAGTGAAAATTACGAACTGCAAGGTAGCTATGAAAGAAACAATGGTTATAACAACGGGAATCCAGTAAATATGGGTCAGGAAGGTTATAATTCTGGAGTAACTTTCAAGTACAGCAACAACAACAATTACAACACCAATAACAACTATAACAACAATAAGTACAACAACAACTACAATAACAATAACAACTACAACGGTGGTTACGAGTACCAGACGTCATCGACTAATTTTGGAACAGTTCAAAACGGTGCTTCATCATCTGGAAGCAGCTTTAATGGTTATGTCATTCCAGTACGTAGTTTCCAAAGTGAAGAAAACAATGCATTTAACATCGATTACAATTCTAAACCTGGAGGTTTTTCTGATTACAACAACAATTACCAAGTTTCTCCTACATTCAGCAGCTCTCAGAATAACTACGGACCTGATAGTTACAGCGCTTCAACTGATATATACAGTGTTCAACCATCAAACAAGTTCAGCAGTTATGTCGTTACTGCAACCACATATGGCGGAAAAAAGCCAGACTCGTTTGGAGATACCGAAATCACTTTTTCAAATTTTGAGAACAACTATAATAACGGTAACATCTTTGGAAAGCCCACAACTTTTAGCTCGATACCAACTGTTGAGAACAATGCAAATGTTTATGGAAGTACAAACTTCCAGTCTACAGACCCAGACCCATATCTGACCAATAACAACTTCTTTGGCGGTCCAAAAAATTTTCAGTCAAATGAATTTACAAACACTGCAAGTTTTAATGTCCCATCTGATTATTACAGCAACACATTTTCAAGTTACAGTGGTTCAGCACCGTCTGTCGGTCTCGGCAACGAAAACAAGATCAGTTACCCTACATTCAGTTCTTACAGTACCGGGAGCAACTACAACTTGAATTATGGCGCAAATGTTCAACCTGATTTCTCAGAAAACGGCGGCAGAAACGCACAAATTGATTTCAACTACGGTAACAACTACGCGCCATCACCAAACAGCTATGAAAACAGCGGTTTCGTCACTGCCAACGTCAACGGACCAAGTTATAATGTCAATTCAGGTCCCAGTAACTACGGCAGTGCAATAATGCAGAACAGTTACGGGACCTCCAGCAACTCGTCTTACGAAATCCAATATGGAACGAATGGTTATGGTGGTAGTAGTGTTCAAAATGCTAATGTCTACAACACCTGGGATAAGGACTACACAAACGATTATTCAGGCTACCCTGTAAGCGGTTTCGCTCAGACGGACAGCATCGGCGGTTTTTCAGCAT